GGCGGTCACTTTAGAACTTGTCTAGGTCCAGTACACGTGGGCTGGCCTTCGGGCCACGCTCAGGCCCCCATTTCTTCTACTGTTTTCGGGATACATGTATTCAACCTCACTTATGCCTTCTGCTACCCCATTTGGAGCCTCGGGACGCTACACTCAAAAGGAAAACTCTGTGCAGAGAGATAAGAGCTGATGCAGCTAAGCTGAAAATATTGCTTACTCATTCCTGTGCCAATTTCTGTTTTTCTATCAATCCTGAAAGTCTTTCGCATAGTCAAGATAAGTTGGCAAAAATTTTTTTGAAATTTATAACTTTGATTACTATCACATCAGCAAAATTTTAAATAAGCGCATATTCGGATCGGTGATATTTTTTCCTCCGGAATATTTGTATGCTGATTTTGAGTTCAAAAGTATGCATCTGAAGGGCTGTAAGCTGCCTTATTCATTGACCTTGTGTTTGATTGAGCTTCACCGTCAACACACTTCGAAAAGTCATAGTAGACGTTGTGTCGGGACGGTTGTTCCGTCAGTGCTTAGCAATGTCGTGGATATCGGATATCTACGTCACTGTAGCAATGGTATTCATCAAGCTCATGGTATATGCATATGAGTACTTGACGCTACCAATTTATTTCATGTTCAGCAAGACTGAGTATTTTATGCCATTCCCTGAAGACGAGCAAACTTATTTTAAAAAGTTTGCTGCCGAGGAGTCGCGAACTCTAAGCCTTCCAGTGGTCCAGGGCGATCCGAGCTCTCCATGGCGTGCTGTGGAGTACATTGACAGCCTGGCCACTGTTGCACTGCCTGGATGTCCTACTCTTGCTGACCTTTGGCTTCGTACAATTAAGTTGTGGCCAAACAAGCCCGCTCTTGGTACCAGAGAAATCTTGGAAACTGACTATGAGGTTGTCAAGTTACTTTTCTCCACAGGTTCAAAGCCTTAGATCCCAATTTCATGTTGGACATATTTTTCTCTCTCAGGTCCTTCCGAATGGTAAGAAAATGGTAAAACTTACCATGGGTGAGTATGTATGGGAAACGTATGTGGAAGCTGAGCGTCGTGTCTCAGCTCTCGCAATGGGACTGTGGAACCTATTGGGCCCTCTTGATGAAAGTAAGAGAAATGCTGATGGTTTTCCCACACCGCTCGTCCTCTTTTCTGAAACACGTGCCGAGTGGCTCTACGCGGCGCAAGCGTGTTGGCGTCTCAATAGGCCAGTAGCCACCCTTTATTCCAGTCTTGGTGACGATGCTATTGTCCATGGGCTGGAGCAGACTGAGGTGAGGTATTTCTTTGGGCGCCAATGGTCACCCATGGGTGTTTATCAACTCCACTGGTGATTGCTTTCGTCAACGAACAACTAACACTTTAGTACCAGTCAGATATATTTTCAAAGCCTAAATAGACTTATGGTTTAGCTGATTGTTGATATTTTTTGTCCGAGCTGTTTTTAGTGTTGTCTATTTCGCTTTTTAATTTGCCCTCAGAATTATCCGCTCATTGTTTTACCTCTGTGGTATTTGTCATTGGTTTTAAAAGCACAAAACTTACCTGCTTCATTTGAGAACGTGCATTACGGGTTTCTAAGACAACTCTTTTGGATGAATTTGGAACCTTATGATCCTATGAACGCTCTTGGTTGTGGTTCGGAATGCTGCTTTGCTAAACTCACTTCATGTTGCCAATTTCTTTCCTTGGCACTACCTTACTGTTTTCGACGAAAGTTGTTTGCCAACGCTATTTAAGGCATTACCTTGAAGCAAAGCTGATCGTAAAGTACAGCTTGACACTTTCCATCTTTTTCGCCCAAGGAATTAGGCCCATGCCTTGGCAGCGGTTTGGAAGAGCCAGTGTGAGCCGTATTGCTTGCGTAATACCGACATTGAGCTTTAATAGCGTGGCAAAGAGTGACTTTAATGCCGAGAAGAGTAACAAGCAGCATTTTGCATACGGCAGAGCTATGAGTTAGTGAGGAAACGTCCATTACAATCGTGGAGTGTTATTGCACTTGAATTGAAGGAGAGGCTTCTTGCCTTTTTCGCCTTTTTCCTCGTGGTCTGGAGCGTTTTGCTTAGTCGCGGTGATTACTGGCGTTGTGTATTTTATGAACGTTATTTGACCAAATGCTGAAAACGAGTGTGTCTAATTTATGCGCTTTTGTCTCCTAGATTCAAGGCAGTTTTTTGGCTTTCATCCCTCTAAATGGTGCGAGTCGCGCACTTTATCAACATTGAGAATACAGCACTAAATAACTTTGATTAAATTACATACTTTTCAGCTATCCAGAACTCCTGTGTAATCGATGGGCGCGAATTTTGTCAGCAGCCTAATTGCTAGTTAGGCAAGCATCTTCACGCGAGGTGTGCATGTCCCCATTCTTTACTTGCAAGACTTGTTGACTTAGTCCCACAATATTGTTCACAGAAAGTATTCTTTCGAATAGATGGGCCGGCGTGTTTCTACTTGGATCTATTAATTTTTAATACCGGGAGAAATTGTACCACCCACTCCCATTTTTCAAAGCCACCTAAGCGTCTGATGGTAACCAAGGGAGAGTGCCTCTTATTTGCGAAATTGGATCTAGGTCGAATCATATTTGAATCCTATCTTCTACGTTTCAACATGTAGCATTCTTTTACTCTAGGCTTTTGTCGTCTTCACCAGTGATGAACTCCTCTCTAAGGTCGTAAACTTGTTGCCACGCTGTCCTCTTGTGAAATACGTCATCTTCTTCTCAAATGGAGTCATCCAAAAACACACCAATAAGGACATTGAGGACTTAAGTCGATTCAACGAGACAGCCCGTCTTTCTGTCGAGGCAGCTCGAAAGGCTATACCTGAAGGTGTCAAGTTGTATGATATCCTCGAGCTTGAAGAACAGGGCAGGAGTGCCTTTCGTCGGGAAAATCCTACAAATACTGGAGCTCTGGTTAACTGGCAGCCACCGGTTGAGGAGCGCCCCAAACCCAGCGATTTAGCTGTCATTATGTACACCAGCGGGTCCACCGGTAGGTCTTCAACATCGCCGGTGTTTCTGTACTCACACTTCATGCATAAATGACGACCTCTTTGATCGTTGATTGCATGGCAGAATGCACATTTGACTTTGTTTTGAGGTGACGTTATCCTGCTTTTGGCTCTTTGCTATGCATGAATAATGCTCTTGGCAACTTGGAGGTGATAAGACTAGGCATTTTACACCTGAATGCTTTATTGTCCAGTATATAAAAATCACATGACAAGGTGACCGTTGAACTAGATTGTGATAATGCGACTTGTGCGCAGTTACCGGGTGTAATTCTGTTGTATCTGTACCGCAAAGGTGATTGATGACCGTTGGTATTGTTGGGCTGTTTTCATGCTAGAAAGTTTGTTTTGGTCCACTTTTTTTCAATCTGTCTCAGCTGAAAATGTGTGATGGGTTATTCTCTGACTTAGTAGCTGGCCTTCTCTGGCTTGTGTTTGTTGGACGTTAAGGGTGACTGGCGAAAGGCTCATCCGTTGTAAAAAGTTTTTAAAATTGGCAGTCTTTTGAAACCCTGTTGTATCGCTCCATTTGACAGTCCACTCCCGAATCGTATTATTACCTCAAAGCAAGTCTTTCTTTGGTGTGGGTCAAGAGAAGTCCTGTAATCCATTTCCACTGTAACCGTAACCTCATTTTACCCCAGCGTAAGTGGATTGTTTTTGCTGACCTTAGTTAGCAAAGCAAGATAACGCCAATTTTTATTAAAGGTGGATGAGACCGGACCTTGCCTTTACCAGAACTTTGCATATGATGCTTACAGGGACTCCGAAAGGGGTAGAAATGATGCATGACAATATCATCTGCACCATTGCGGGCGTTTTCCGTCGTATGCCGAAGCTAAATCCCGAATCAGACATCTACATAGGCTATCTTCCGTTGGCTCACGTGCTGGAACTTACCTGCGAACTGTGCATTCTTATCATGAGCATCCCCATCGGCTACTCGAACCCACAAACCCTTACAAATACCTCTACGCGCATCAAGAAGGGCGCTTGTCAGGGTGACATTAACGTCCTCAAACCCACTCTCTTTGCCACCGTGCCTGTAGTTTTGGATCGCATTGCAAAGGCTGTGTGGGAGAAGGTCAAGGAAGGTGGCCCTCTTTTAGAGGCTGTAAGTTAAGCAAAGTTTGATTTTTGTACCTAAGTCCTTAATCTACTGTCTTGTAGGATTCATTTGGATGAGGGTCTTTTCAGGTGTTCAAATGGTTGAATGGTGCTTCATCAACATCGTGTGTGAGGCATAGCGTTTGTGACAAGGCGCTAATGGCGCGGAGGAGCCCATGCACTTGAAGTTTCCCGTAGCAACCTCTACTGGCCTCTTGTTGAGATGTTCGTTGGTGGAAAGGTTGGGTCTCCGAGTGCTGGCGTTGTAATATAAGTGGACCACCTCCTCATCTTGATATTTTTAAGTACCTCTATGCAGCAGGTTTCTAAGACCATGCATGTTCCATTTCAACTCTGAGGTGAATGTTGTCCATCAGTATCACCGAAATTAAGGGAGGACTTGAAAAGGTCTCCCACAATTATCATTACCGATGACGGTAGTAGGTACGTTTATACTGAAAGGGGTTTCCTTTTTGGATGCACTTCTGCTTCTACTATAGGTGGCGTGTTGGTGTTTTCAGTTTGTTCATCGCTTTGGTTTAGCATTTGTGTATTCCGAAGTGGATGTGCACACACATTCACACTATAGCCGCAAGTCCTAGTCTGTGATGAGGTGGCCTTATTCAAGTGGGGGAATTTGGAGGGGGTGGGGAGAGAGGGAGGTACTGTCTCTGGTGGTCGCTGGTCTGGTGGGCTGGTCTCAGCCCTTCAGCGACTAAGTAGGGAAGTGTGTGTGTGTGTGTGTGTGTACGATTTTTGCCGGCTTGAATACACATACGACGGAATGTTCAGTGCTGTCATCACATTAACTGTCGTTTGGGCTGCAGAGTAAAGAAAGTGTCAGTTTGCACAGTCGAGATTGCTTGGTTGTAGGCTTTTCTTTGTGTTCGTCGCGCCTTTTTTTATTTGAGCTGAATTGGAGGTAATCGAGGTCGACCTCTAAGCGAAATTAAAAAACTGCCCTCTTTTTCATAAATTTTTGTGATCGTGTGTGCTTTTATTGCTTTACAAAGGTTACATCTCTGAGTCTTTCTTGTAATTGTTCCATTATTTTGCATGGGTCTTTGCTAACACATCTATCCACACTCCTTTTGAATGCATCAAAGGCATTTCTTATCGTACTATTAACAGTGGGATTTACCTCCAATTTCTCAAATTCAGCCTCATACAACTCTCCCTTTACAAAGTCGTATTGAAGTTGTCGTTGGTTCTTGCACGGGCTCGCCAGCTCTGTTTCCCTGCGTAATGTCAAAAAGTTGGAATTTGGCCAACCGCCAGGGGAAAAGGCTTGTCAAAATGTTAACTTGCTCTTCACACTTTGTGTCAATGCAGTTGTGTTGCTCAAGAGACTGTGTTCAGATCACATTCTTTGTGCTTTTCACACTTTACCTGGCGGTGTGATGCAGTTCTGTGGGATTGACTGTTATTAATCCGGCGCCAGATGATTTCCGGTGGACGTGATTCTCGCATTACTATAATACTCAAGCCTGAACAGTCTTGCTGATCATTTTGTGTTTTCCTTTGGGACAGATTTTCCACTTTGCCTACGACTACAAGTGCCGTCGTTTGCACACGGGCTTTCCGAGTTTCCTTGTGAACCTCCTCATCTTCCGCAAGGTGCGTGATCTCGTCGGTGGTCGTCTGCGCTTACTCGTTTCTGGGGGTGCTCCACTCTCCGAGGAGTCGCATCTCTTTACAAACGTCTGTTTTGCCCCCATTATGCAAGGGTGAGTGTCAGTCGTGCTTCAACAATTTCACATCTTCATCCATCTTGTTGTTGTCATTATTGTTGTGACTTGATATGCCTTCTGATTTATAAGCCTGAGTGGGGCACATATTTTCACCCCTGGCGTCTAATTAATGGGCACTAAATCACGAGAATGATGAAAAATACATCAATTATTAAACAATCTCCTTCTTCAATTGTTGTTTGAAGCAGGGGACAGTGGAAAAGCTGGTCATTGATGCGACAAAGGAGTTTCCCTTTTTCAACCCCCTCCTCTCCAATCCTATCCTTAGCTGTCTCAGATGACGTAGCCTAAGCTGCATTACGTTATTCCTCAATGAGTTGTTCTTCTTTTTTTAATTTCACATTTTCTTCTGCTCCCCTCTCAATGGGAGACTACCTACTTCGTGCTAATCATGTAAATTAAGGACTGATGTGAATATTCTCATCCCCTTATGGTGGTTTTGGTTCCACAGTGTAATTGAGCTTGTAAACATATCAATTTTTGCCATTTTATTTCATGTCAAAGGCTAATGAACTGCCTCGCGTAGGCTTCCCTCATTTCCCCTGTCTAAACACTTGAGGCAGTCGTGTGACCATAGACGTGAATCCTTCCTCAGCCCCACTGACTCCTGCTACGAAGTGCTCTCTGACTAGTACGCCCAACTTATGAGATTCCGGTTTTTAAACTTTGTTCCTCCCTTTTTCTAAAAAAAAACGAATAAGTTTTACTCCTAGTTTGCATTTTGGCCTCTTGTCTGTGGTGCATGCTCGGGAGTTGCGTGTACTGTCTCACCTTGGTACCGACATTTTCAGTATCCGTGATAATTTATGTGGTGTCATATGATGGCACCTGTCTGGAGTCGTCTACCTCTCGCAATTCCCCTTCTAAGTCATCATCTGGTGTCACCTACGCTAAAGGAAAATTTTGTGAAATGAAGATATGTTGATGGTGTCATTCTCACTTCTTTCACTCCCTTTAGCGTGCTGTTTATTCTTACAGGGACACTTCAGTAGATACTTTTGCTTGGATTAGCTATTTTGAAAGTTCTATTCAAGAAGGATGGATTTTGTGATTTATTTGTTTCGCCTTTGTATCCCCTCTCACGAGTAATCACCCCTTAAATTGCTCATTACGGAGGCTTGGGATTAAAAATTTCTCCTGAATTGGATTTAAATGTAATGGAGGAGAGGTGAATCACATGTAACATGGCACTGACATTGCCTTCTCCAGGTATGGCCTGACAGAGACGTGCGCTGCTGCCACTCTGATGGAGTGCGGCGACCTGCGAGGTCATCACGTAGGCGCGCCAATCCCAAGCATTCAGATTCGATTGCGTGCCTGGCAGGAGGGCGGCTACTCACCCTACGATAAACCCTTCCCCCGTGGTGAGATTCTTATCGCTGGTGGTAGCGTTAGTCGCGGTTACTACAAGAATCCTGAAGCTACTGCTGATGCCTTCTTTACTGACAAAAATGGTATCCGCTGGTTCTGTACTGGTAGGTGCATTTTTTTTTGAACGTACCCTTTCTTCAAAGGGACAAAAATCGTAACATCTTCCGGGTTCGTTCACGTTTCTTATGGGTACCCTTGGAGTGTCTTGGTCTTGTGCTGTTACTGTTGATAGGTTAAAAGTGCATTTGACTTTCCTATACGTAAATCTACGCCTGTGGTTGTGTAGGCGTGCTCCCCTCAACTCCATTTAACCGAAATCCTAAAGATTATCACAGCGTTTGTGCTGCTCCGAAACAGACAGGAGACTTTGCAGAGGCTGTATCTTGAAGTAGACATAGTTGAAGTGCCGAATCCTTTTCAAGCACGAGTCGTGCAGCATGCTAGTTGATTCCTTTTAGCAACACTAAGCCTAATCTGGTGCATTCTGTCTACCAAAATCTTCGAAGCTCTTTTCATGTCATTTTGAGAGATAATTTTGTTGAATCGGCTATTTTGCCTTTGAAAAGTGTACTATGACCTAAGTCTAGGGACAAACTTATGAGATCGTTCAAGGCGACGTCAAAAGACTTCGTTCACTCTCTCAAGATTTCACTTTGTTAGTATAGCTCTTTCATTAATTCTTAATTGATGTCTCTCCATTAGTAGGGTTCGAAGCGATGTGTTATTGCTTTCTAGGGGACATTGGAATGATTCACCAGGATGGTAGTTTCTCAATCATTGATCGCAAGAAAGACTTGGTGAAGCTCCAAGGAGGGGAGTATGTGTCATTGGTGAAGGTGGAGCTTGCATTGAGTCAGTCGGTGTATGTGGAGAACGTCTGTGTGTACGCAGATCCACGGGAGAACTACACAATCTGCTTCATCTATCCCAAACTCACTCAGGTACGCAAATTGGGTGCTGAATTGGGCCTTCTTGACGCGGCCTCCGAGGCTGCGCATGCCAGTCTACCGCCGGATAAGTTGGAGGAATCGACAGCCGTATCTCTAGCTGAACACGCCTTCCTTTGCCATAACCCACAGGTACTCCAAATCATTTTAGATGTTTTTTTTTGCCTTGAAGGGGTTTCCAAGCCCAAGACGGTGTTGTGAATGCTTCTACTAAAAGTCCTTCCGCCATAAAAATACCCACACTAAACTCCTAAATAGTTTGTAAGATTTAAGTTACTTTCCGTCGTCTTGAAAAACAAGTAACTACCTATTCTTGGCTCTGATTTCAGAATTCTTTTCGGTAAATAATGTGACACATCTGTTATTCGGAGTTTACTCCCTAACACTCACACGCTTTGTTTTGGGGTGGGGAATTCGTGACAGGTGCACAGCTGAATGTTATCATTGATTGTTAAGTTGAAGTAATCGCGTTTTCCACAATACTGCACACTTGTGGTATTTGAAGTCCAATGAATTGCTTTTGCCTTATGCGGACGTTCCTGGTTTTACACTCGCTAACTCAAGAGTCGGTTGTTTACAATGGGTTGTTCATGATCGTGGTTGTATGGAGTTATGCATGTGAATGTTGTTTTGGCACTAATGTGACACCCATTTTCACGAAAACTGTAATTAGGATCTGTACTTTAGGCTGTTCTTGGTCAGTAGTACGCAATTTTATGCAACTAGCTGTGGTTTGAACCTGCCTTGGTGCACTATGTCCTTATTAAGGACTTTCTTGTATTTACTATCAGCCACCACAAATGCCTCATTCGGAGCGGAACATCGAAAATAACCCACTTCCAAATTGGTGCTCGATGCGATGCGCAGACCCTGGACAGATCAAAAGTTTATCATTTACACAAGCGTGCCGCGTAGATGGTTAAACAATGCTCTTGAAATCACGTACACATGAATACAGACAATGAGTTTCACAGTCCTGTAAGAACAATCGTAAACCACTTACATGCTAAGGTTTGCTTGACTTTATGCGTGGGTGAGTATTTGGTTTTTAGGGAGTTTTTTGTGATTTTACGTTTCCAGGTCATTGAACGAATCACTGAGGATGTTCGACGGGTGGGTGGGGCGAAACGGCTCGCATCTTTTGAGATTCCACGTAAAGTGGTCTTGGATCCGGATCCTTGGACGCCCGAGTCGGGCCTAGTGACGGACGCCTTGAAGATCAAACGCTTTAACATCAAGAGAAAATTCGAGGACGATATCAAAAGAATGTATGCCGCGTAGACTCGGCGCTCCATTCAATCACTGGGATTTTGTGCTCACGATAAAGCAATACGACGCACTACTTCCATTTATCGTCTCCCTATGATCACGTTTAATTGTCTTTGCTGTAATTTTTACACGTTTCCAATCAGTCATCCTTTTAATTTCTTACAATTGTGGCCTTGGCGCCCAATCCTAATGTCGGCTTCGGCCCGCCGGCTGACGTGCCTTGTGAACGTGGGACAGGCTCACGTGGTGCTGGTTCAAGAGGCCCGGATTGGGTCTGTTAGTTGTAAGTTTATCAGGTAGCAGTTCTCATAGTTCTCCTTTGAACTTGGGGGTCGTGACTCGTTTTCTTCGGCGTTGGTATCGGCGGTCAGTGGATGTGGGTGGGTTGCTTCGCAAGGGTTATCGAATGCTTTATTTATTAGTCAGCTAATTTATAGAATGGTGGCTATAATGGGTCAAATGAATGATTTGCGATGTATTTTGTAAAGATTATTTGATCCTTGAGTTCCATATAAGATTTTGATTAATGATTTTAAAGCTAAAAACAATAATGCCACATAAATTTGTTTCATCGGACCAGTATTGCGTTGGTCGAAAATGGCCGCACTCCTTGTTTTCGTAGCCTCTGGTCATGATTTCTGCTGAACTGGGTTTAGAGTCAGTCGATCCCGACATTTATCAACTCTGTAAAGAGGAGGAACTACGTCAGCGGAATTGTATCGAGTTAATTGCTTCCGAGAACTTTGCCAGCAAGGCTGTTCTGAGTGCCCTTTCTTCAGCTTTTCACAATAAATACTCAGAAGGAGTAGTTGGTTCAAGGTGAGCATTCTTCGGCTTAAGATTTTGACAACGTTTGGGCAGATACTATGGTGGAGTTGATGTTGTCGATGCGATGGAGTCGTTGTGCATTAAAAGGGCACTGAAATTGTTCAAACTGTCTCCTGAGGATTGGGGTGTGAATGTGCAACCCTATAGCGGATCTCCAGCAAACATTGCGGTCTATGTGGGCTTGGTCGGACCTCAGGGACGCATCATGGGTCTTAATCTCCCCGATGGTGGTCATCTCACTCATGGGTTTTTTACTCCGAGTGGGAAGAAGGTGTGTTGCTTCTAACACCTATTCCCTTCAAATCATCAATTAAAATCTTGTTAATTCTTAATTGTTTAATATGTAGTGTTAATCCAAAGGAGAGTAGACTTATATGTTTGTCCATTTGTGTGTATCCTATTACTCCTTTCTCAAATCATCACTTGTTCTATCTGCTAGTCTTTTCACTTGAGAGCTTCTCATTTAATCTCATCAAACATCACTTCCTATATCATTTTTGTTGTCTAGATTTGTTAGTGTAGGCTTTAATATCTTTTTCCGCTCCTCAAGTTGTCGGCCTCCTCGATGTTCTTTGAGTCGATGCCATATTGCGTAGACATAGAGAGTGGCCTAATTGATTTCGAAGCGTTGGCAGCCAGTGCAAAGCTCTTTCGACCTCGTCTTATTGTCGTTGGTGCCAGTGCTTACCCACGTCAGCTGGACTACCCTAGGTTTCGCCAAATCGCCGACTCTGTGGGCGCTCTGATGCTGGTAGATATGGTAAGCATTTTAATTTATATTTTGATTTTTAATTTGATACAGGACTTCGCACTATTCCAAAGCCTTTATAAAATTCCATGGTGAAGGGTCAAGGGGGATTTTCTCGTTTTGTCAAATGCTTGAAACTCTTGTCTTAGTGGCAGTTGTTGCCCAAATTCTTCGCCCATTTCGATGCATCTTTGCTCTTGATCATTTTGCACGTTCGCTATGGCGTCCTATTATCCTCCTCTTTCGACAAATAATTAGGGATTCAGAATGTGCTAGTTGAGTCCATGATTTCTAAACCATTCCCAAACGATCATTAACACTATCGACATTTTTGCTCCTTTTAGCGTTCTGCTATCCGTCTTTTCTTCATGTTAATTTTGTCAACCCTTTTAAGGTTAAAATGGTTCAGTCATCTTGAGGCGCCCCACTGAATTTTCTTTGTCAACAGCAATCCTGGATGAATTATTATTAATGCTTCCCATCCACCTGTCATTTTGGCAGTCTTGGACTCTGATCTGGAACATTTGAAATGAAAGTAGGTCAACGATATCGCAGATGCATTTATCAATGAAGGCAGACTTTGAATGGCGCAGATTTTGATCACTCCTGTCATGCTGTGATTCTTTTACTGTCATTTCAGTCCATCCAATTTAACAACCCATTTCGTAACTTGGTTTATTTTTTTGATGATCAGGTTTGAATGGGGTTTTAAAATTCATCGTGTATTCCGATAAACTATCTCAGCTTTTGTCACTTGTGTCGCGTTTGGTCGTGCCTTCGTTTACTAATTGCTTGAATCGGGTTGCTCGCGCATTCATATGCGTTCTCGATTTCTCTAAACTGCTCTAGGACGACAACGCAAAGAATTGTTCCATTTCGCTTGAATTGAGCATACTCCAATGGTCTTTATAATGCGGTTTGGCCATAAGTACTGCAGCCGTGTATCCTTGACGAAATAGCAAATTTTCAGCATTAAACCGCACCACTAATTAACTTGTCATTTGTGATTGCTTTGCTCGACTCTATCTGCGATGCGTCTTTTTAACGTTCCTATTTATAAACTCTTGCATAATTTGAGAGCTCGGTGTCCAATGTTGAGTAATATGATGTTCATGTGTAAGAATCTCTGTTAATTAACCTGGCATTTTTGCTAGTCTGTGCTCCCGTCGACGGACCTGTCATAGTCCTTCAGAGCACGTCCGGTGACGTTATTAGGGCAGTCGAGTCAGGTTATCAGCCTCTTCGGTAATGCATAATCTTAGTTGGTCTGAAACGTTCATTTGAATTCCCTAGTCGTCGGCCAATCTTTAGCTAAGGCTTTTTTGCAAGGATGTTCCACTGCTCACTTAACAATAAAATCAGTTTAGGATGAGTGTTAAGAACAAAAGCTGTCTGGAAGTATCTGAAGCGTTGTTTTCTCCATTTTGCTGATTTCTAAAAGGTAACTCAAGTCTTTTTTTCCGTCAGGCACACATAAGCGGCCTCATTGCCAGCGGTTTACATCCCTCACCCTTCGAGTATGCCGACGTCGTCACTACAACGACGCATAAGACCCTTCGTGCCGCACGTGGGGCTATGATCTTTTTCCGTCGGCGCAGACTTGTTCCACCACCGAAAAAGACGGCCAAAAACGATCCCACCATCGGAGGGGTGAGTGATGAATGAATTAGCAACCGTTTGAAATAGCCTTTCCCATCAACTTTGCGTCTCTACTTTGAGTATTTAGGCTCCAGAGGAAATTTTTGTCGTCTTGCTTTTATTGGTTGTTTTGCTCGCAACAACCTCACATATTTTACCGTTCGGTTAACTAACTCCTCCTTATTTTAATGTCGGAAGTATTGGGTCTTGTTTTTAACATCCGTTACACAACTTCGCCGTTCCTCTTTTCTCTCTATCAAAGTACCATTTAATTTATACCCAGTCCGCTATTCGTTCTTCACGATTGTCTGCGGCTGGTCTTCAGGCGCATTCTGCATTTGGCTCTCAAAAGCAACCACCATCACCGTCCTTCCCAAGTGGTCACCTTATCACGCTTTTAACTAACGGTCAACGCGGTGTTACTAATTTTGACGGGGATCATGTATCGCTACGCCTGGCACGCAATGTATAGTGGCTTAATTTAGTCGAGTGTTTTTTTAAGGGCTGAATTCCCTGAGAGCCTCTCTCGACGGACATAACCTTCATTTGCCCTTATTCAGTATGTGCTAAAAAAGGATCCTTACCGGTAGGAGGGCGCATAGTTTGCATTGAATTGTTCTGTATTGCTCTATTAAAACTGAATCTTCTTACTGCCTTCGTTACAAAATTCATGGTTGAATTTTTCGTCGTATATGCAACCGAGACCTTGCAAACTATCAATAACGGCGATGTTCTTCCCTCCCATTTCGACTGGTGCGATCGTTCAATTCTGCTCCACCCTTGGGGCAGGTCCAGTCGCGGAGAGTGACGTCATTTTTTTGCAAACGCTTTCTATTGGTTCATCTCACAAACTCCTTTCATTATGCATAACTTGTCCTTTGCATCCATCATTAAACGCACTACTAATTAATCATAAGTAACACCATCTAGTGTTTTTTAAACAAGGGTGTGCTTGACAGCCAAATTTTCAGTCTTCTGCCTTCATGTTCTGGTGTTCTTTTCAAACAGGAGGGCGATGGACCCATCTACATGGAGACAGATTTTGAACGACGTATCAATGACGCTGTTTTTCCTGGAGTGCAGGGCGGTCCCCACAACAATAACATTGCTGGTATCGCAGTGGGGTTGCACGAGGCTCTTCAACCCGAATTCAATCAGTACATCCATCGTGTTGTTGAGAACAGTAAATACCTTGCAGCGCTACTTCAAGGCCTGGGATATACGGTTAGTTCTTCATTTACATTGCGCTTCATTATGGGAGGACTAAAGGCGGCAATGTGAAAGCACTTGAGTGTGAAACATTCATTATCAGATTCTGGATCTGTAGGATTGCCCATGAAGCATATCTTATGCGCCTCAAAGTTTGTATACATTTGACAAAAGGATTTGTACATCGTATTAAAATAAAGATAATCTCCATGTCCTTGCCTTGATGCAAGGCATGCACGTTTTCTTACAGTTCAGATACGTAGCGCTCGCCCTCCTCTCATTTGATTCAATCAAGGCGATGGTCTTCGCTTGGTTATGAGAAGGGACATGGGACAAGTTACGGTCATTGGCAAGTTGATATCGACGTTAAGTCTCAGTTGACTCGTATTTGGTTTGCACCAACTGTAGGTTCTCGTTGTCGTTTTCGTGAGGGCAAATTGTGATTGCAGCTATTTGAACTAATTTGGTAGACTGATCCCACTTTTTGCTTTCAACTGTGGTTTCGGAACGGAGTTCAAGCAAAGTACTCCAACGATGGTCGCGGTCTGTTTGTCAAATTCATAAGGCTCGCCACGCTTCGCATGAATGTTATTATCACTAGTTATGCGCGTCAATCCTGGTTTCTCTTTCTTCGCCTAGCAGGTATGACTGGTCGGATCCCAGCACCTTTCGAATTTGTTCCGTTGTTCGTTCGTCTCATGCGGAGATGTCACCAACGTGCGGGATATGTGTACTACCTTGTTCGCAAGACCAGTCATGAGTTCGTCTTAACCAACAATCACTGGATTTTTTTTTCATGTTTATTGTGGCTGGGTTCGCTAGTATATTGGTGAACAAATGCGGTAATTACCAACGTGACCTCGAGTACTCTGTCATACTGCTGGAGTGGGTGACGGCTCCATACCAGTTTTTTTTTTAACTATAATTGCTCACATTTCTCTTACCAGAAGTCATATTGTCTACTTTATGTGTAAGCTTGGCTGTAGGGTCAACTCAAGGGAGTAGCTAGCCGGAAGTCTACTTCGATAAATAAATAATGCAGGGCTATGTCATGGAATGGTCGGTCGACTCATTGGTTTTTTCTAAAAGAGGTACACTTTGAGTTTAGATAACAACTGGTGGTACCGATACACACCTCTTTTTGATGGACTTTCGACCGCTCAAACTGGATGGAGTTCGTGTCTCTACGGTGCTGGAGGCGATCGGCATCACTGTGAATAAAAACACTGTCCCCGGCGACGTGAGCGCTATTCGGTAAGTTCCTTTTCATATTGCAGAACAAAAATATCACGCTTGGTACCTGAGCCCTCTTATTCGAGTCACTATCATGATGGTCGACTTTGTAGTGTTAGTTACAACGATTATCACGCAGTATAGACCAAGGCTCTGGGGTAATTGAAATATCATTCTGCCTGTCGTTCCAGCTTCACATTGAGAAGGCCTGATTCTGTCTTGTTGGTTGCTACGGCACCTTGTGTGTTGATTTCCTTCTCAAAATTGACTTATTTAAGCTATTTTGTTTCTTGCTGCTTGCATGGTTTTACCACTTTTCGCCGTCATTTGCCTGACGTCACCTCCTTGTATCATGGAATGCTTCTCTATTTTGGATTGTTCATTCACTGGTACAATTTCAGCTAAAATTTGGCCACTTTGCAGGGCATGGCTTTTTGTAGACGCGGTTGGAATCTCACTATCTTGCAGTATCTGCTATTTCAGCTGTAACAGCAGATCTCACTGTGATACATTTCTAACCTCACTGTCATAAGAAGGGGAGAGTTGAAACCGGTTCTGGTAAATGTTATTCCACTCTCATCAGATCTTTGTCCATCGTGTTACTTCACTTATATCCAAATTGCTTCATGATGACTGTTCCTGAGGGTTTCTGATACTAGCGACGTGATCAATTCCTTCAAAGATTGCATAAGGTAAGGTTGGAGGAGCTTACTCCTCCAAATTGAACTACAGTTGGCAGACGAACTGACGTGTTGGACAAAAGGATTTCAAACGAGGCCTTACAGTTTTGCCGCTTCAACCACTCCTCAAATAAAACTAACTGAAAGAGAGTTGCATGATTTTGTCTTCTCAGTATTTCAGTTAAGACCCTGATTAAAGTATTCCCTTTTTAACCTGACCTTAGTCCCAGTGGCATTCGCATTGGGACGCCAGCGGTAACCTCCCGCGGCTTCGACTTGGAGGCGATGAAACGGGTTGCAGAGTTCATTCATGCCGGAGTGCAGATAGCTTTGAGGGTTGCTGCCGGCCTTAAAACCTCCGCGATCAAGGAATTCCAGGTGAGGTGTAGTCATTGTCGAAAACCCAATAGTAAACCTCTTATGCCAATTAACTTTAATGCCATTCTTATTTCGAAGAAGGTGCCCATGTGATTTTTAAGTGATTCCTCATCGCTGCCTATCTAATTTTTTACTTTCACCTCTAGTCCGCTCTGACACTCAACCCTGAAGTACAGGCCGAGATAAGGAAAATAAGGAGAGAGGTTACCGAATTTGCCGCTTCTTTTCCTCTGCCGGGATTCTGATTAATGAGCTTTTCTGCAATTCCAATTTCTACCAATAAACGACTTGCAGCATTAAAATCGCTGTTTACGGTGAGGGTAATTGTTGTCTAGAGTGCAACTTGATTATCGTTGTCGTCCCCTCCAAATCATTAGTTTTACTACATGGTGTAAGTCTGCAGTGGTGCATTAGGGGTGGGGAACTCATGCGTTTAATTAAAGCCAAAGGTAGTGGGATTTGGTCGTTGGAGGCTCTGGGATCAAACTGTGCTGTTGGTAGATGTCAGCTGGGCGTTGCACCTCGCATTGTGGTTTCGATTGGCTCGTCTCCGACTTCGTGGTTGATGGCACTGCAAAGTTCCCTCTGGTTACAGCGCAACATTTAAGCTACTCATGAAGTCGCTCCTGCGGTACATCTAAATACTATAGCACAACAGGTAGGATTCTTAGCTACATCATAGATCATTATGCTATTCTGCGCCATGAGGTTGAAAGAATTAGCACAATGAAGAGGATGACGGGGAACAAGGTTTGAGACAGTCACCAGAGTTGACAGGAGGTGCGCTATGCGTATTATTTGTATGTAATTAGTGCCATTTGCCATCTTCCAAAAAGACAAAGAAAAAATATTAAGTGCGTTAGTGCGTATTCATCTTGATTTGAAAGTAATTGATGTGCAGATCTCTAAATTATTGGGAACACTGGTAATATAAAAATATGTCATTAAAAAAATAATTAATATTTAAAAATTTTTATAGTTTTTTAGCAGAATTTGCAAAGTTATACCTCATCCTTTCACCAGATAATTTAAAGCGTAGGTAGAGAGCCTTATTGCACGTAAATGTTGCGCGGTTCTATGATCAAATTATGGGCTCGTTTGTTAATGGTGCATCCTCTGTAAGTTTGTAACTGCTCAATATTTTCGCCTCAAGCGTGGAGAATGTTTATTCTAGAAGCATTTGATGTTTATCCGTAACCAATCTTTCCCGTGAACTTATGCATTGATCTTGATTTAAAACGTCTTTTTAAAGGATCAGAATGTGAGACATCGTGGACAAACAGGGATGTTCTACAACGATTCCAATTCGAAACTGCCTCCTAATCTCTACATTAGGGAGGACCTGGTTTCCTTACAAGCAGAGTTTCCTGATTCAGTCGTCTCCTACGATTTCACCAACTTGGCAGCAAAATTGCAAACTAACTACGCACCAAATGACACTGCTAAGGGGACTGAGAAGCCATCGCTTTTGCTAAAACTAAGTGACCAATTAATGTCCCACTTATCTTTCCTTTTTGGCCATTCGTCTCCTGTCATTCTTGCATACAGCCAGTACAAGAGTGCTGGGTACCCGTGGACTCTTGGTTCGTTACCACCGTCTTTCATTGCCATCTTGACGATTCGCTGGCTTGAGATCTCCCCTTCCACCGTGGCAGTTGACCCTACTTCTACTCTTGTCAGCCTGGAGTCAGATGACGCCATCATAGATCCAACCCTGCCTGATTTTGATCTCGGTACAGTTATTTCTATCACCGAAAGATCCTCCGATTTTGTTGAGTGGAGGCGGTTTCCTCTATCTTATGTGGATCCCTATCCACAATGGCGCGTCTTCGCCCTTCACGCCGATCGATTTGTTGGTATTGGATTTAGCAATGGTGCTATTGAGATCATAAATCTCAGTGACAGTGATAATTCTCACATATTCATTAAGCAGCCTCACGATTCGGATTTTGCACCAATTGTGGGAATGACGTTTTTACTGAATCCTTCCTTCCTCGTGGTGTGCAGATTTTCGGGTGAAATTGAATTGTGGCTTCTTAAAGACAAATCTATTGGCTTTTCTGCTCATTTAATCTCGCGTCAACTTCATCACTCGTTTATATTTTCATCGGTTGTTGATGTCAAAAACTCTCTCCTCGTTATTGGTGGCGAGTTTGTAGGCACACCTAGGGACAATCTGACAATCTTCTCAATCAACAATTTCTCATCCTTCTCTGAATTTGTCCCTACTAAAACGACTGATTCCAGTAATTCTTTTTCCGCACCTTCAAAATTGCGTTCTCTTATGCGTTCAATTTCTACTCGACAAAGCACCAATTTAGCAGATGGATTCGCCAGCCTTTCTTTATCGCCCGGCGGTAATCTCCTCTCTGCTCTTCATTGCTCTCGTGCTATTTCTGTGTGGTCGTTCCCTTCATGTTCTCTTCTCACCACCATTATCTCTGATGCTGTGGAACTAAACAGCATGACAGTCGCCTGCAAACCGCTCTCGCCATTGCTCGATTCTAAGGTACCCGTCCCACATCATTTGAATTGGTGGAGTAGGGATTCCGCTGATCCTCTACTAGCCATTCTCAAAAGCAATGGTTCCCTTTCAGTAATCGATATTGAGAGCATGGAGAATCAACTTTTCAATGTGGATCAAAATCAGGATAATGGAAAAATTCATTTTTCTCCATTTTCATCCTTTGCAGCTGCAGGAGTCGTCAATTCCTCAGCAACTGAGCTCTTTCTTCTTGACTGTTCGATGGATTTGCCTCCTAGAAAGGAGAAAAAAGTTCAGAGCCGCAGTAGTACACAGGGAGGTTATATTAGTGCGTTCACTGCAGCCCTCGGCATAACGGGGAAGTCGGAGACTGAAGATAGGGTTACTGAACCTCTGGAAGATGTTTCTTCTATATTTATGCGGGCCAATGTGGTCCGCATAACAGCGACTTCTCGCCGTGAGCTTTTCATCCACCGTCTTCGATGCTGCAGATTTTCTGAAGCGCTGGCTCTCACCGTCAATAACAAGGATGAAGCTGATGGTTTGGAACTTGATGCAGAATTTGTCTGGCAGTATCAAATGCTTGCCCTTTTTCATTTCCCCCTCAAACCTGATGTTTTTGAAAGAATTATAGCAATTTGCACCTCCAAGATCACAAAGCGTATGAATTGGCTCCTTCGTGCGTGTCTCCACGAAATTCCTTGCATTGATGCTGACTGGAAAACGGTTGACCTCTTTCGGGCGACAAAGTCCCTTCTAAAGATAGGTCTTTCTCTCTCCTCCAGTGCTACTACCAATCTGATGTTTCGGGAACGCCTATATCAGTTAGAGGTGCTGACAGCCATCTATGCCGAGGAGTGTGCATTGTCCCTGTCGAAAGAGACTGATTATGATGGCACCGACGATGAAGTAAAGAAATGGTGGCTAGAAATAGAGGCTTATCGGCAAAACTCACCTCTTGATATTGCTCTATGGTACTTGCAAACTCGACGCTACGCAGCGTTCGGAATTTTAGTGGCCCATTACTTCAAAATTCTAGTTCCCCATCTTTTTAGCCTTCTTTCAACAGTTCCTACAATTGAATCACCTGCCAAGTATCTTCGACTGGTTAAATTTTTCCCTTTCGAGTCAATGATTGAACAGCCGACCATGAGTAATTTCTCCGAGGACCGCCACAAAGACGCTATCGAGCGTCTCTATTCCCTCCTTCCTAAAGACTTTCGATGGAAGAGTACTACTCCAACTATATCAACTCTTGCCCAGTGGGCTTGTACAAGAGCCTACGAGTTGGATCAGCTGTCTGGACTTGCCACAGAGGCTGAAGAGTTGTTGGCAGTAGCTACTGAAATTATAAAGTCAAGCAGTAAGGATAAATCAAGCGCAAGGTGGCGTCGTTCGAAGCAATGTGCTTTGTCGATGCTGAAAAAGTACTCGGATGAGGTGGTTCAATTCACAACAGTAAGTTAAAACCGATAAGTTCGAACTACTTTAGATCCTCTACCGTGCCGCTCCTGGCTATGGCTTTTCAAACACCCTTCGACGTAAGATTGATCTCGGCAATCAGTTGGTGTGTTTGAGCCGCCTAAAGCTAGTGGAATTCCATCAGCTTACTCTGGAACGACGGTTGGAACTTCTTATTTGTGTTTGCATTGCTGCGCCATCGAAGGTGACGGCCGCTGAGGTATACAATGTACTGACACGGCATCTCCTCCCCTTTGTCACTTCGTATGAAAAGTCCTTGGTGGAGTCCTGGTTGAAGCTGTGCCTTCTGAGGATAGCCGACTACGTCACCACTGGTCTGGAAGCAATTTCCATACTCGTTGAAAAGTGGCACCATTCTGACGCTGAAGTTATAGCCTCTCTCAAAGGCAAGCTCGCACTTTACCACCAAATTCTTTCCCATTATTATTTCAAATGTAACTGTAGAGTAAAATGGGTTTTGTGGCTAAGATTCGCCTGTTGCAATTTTCATTTCAAATTTCTCGATATAATCACGAATTATCTTGAACGGTCTGACGCAAGCTTGACTAATGTGGTGAATGGATTTGGTCTATTCCCTCTGAATTTGTAACGGACATGAAGTTATTGGTTTGTTGATGCCTGTGTGGTGTATCGTTGTCATGCACATCCATAATAACTGTGTTACATCCTTTATTAATGCATTAACTATTTATGTAGACATCTCCTTCGAGTCTTGCATTGTCAATTTCCTGGTCGAGTTCACACCACCCTCCGCGGGGGATCCCGATGTCTATTTGATGCACGTTCAAAGGATCCTCTCTAATCTGGATGCCGAGAAAGGGGACAAAGAGAGCTCTCTCTATCGCTTGTATGAGTGTTGTGAGGCTCTCCTCGACTATAACTCACTTGTCCGTGATCTGGGCTATCTTGTTCCTCCACAGGGTGTTCCTACATCGCTTGGTGAAGCTCTTTCTATCAGTACGGGCGATGAGTCACGACTCAAACAGCTTGTCAATCGGTGGATTCGAGCTACTCTCGTTGCCGAGGGTGAGGAAATGGCCAAGAAATCTCAAATGCAGGAGAGCTCACGAAGTGTCGCATCCTCTCCCCTTCATGTCGTCAAGCGTCTCTATTATAACCGTTTTCCCATTAATTCTGAAGATGTTTCTACACCATTATGCGAAAACAAGGACAACGACAATGGAGCTCTCATGAGGCAAGTTATTCCTGCTCCTGATTCAGTCAAATGTTCATATGCGTGAGCAGTTCTTTCTCCATCTTGTAGTATCTTCCATCGTCTCTACACCTCTCTAACAAGGCTACTTGGTGCCAATCTAAACGAGAGAGCACGTTTTCATCTGCTTGTGGGTGTGCTGTGTTCAGGTGACCGACGTCTTATAGATTTTGCAAGATCTGCGTTGGTACAGGGGCAGGAAAATGATTTCATCTGGCGCGCAGCGCTTCAGCATGCCATTCGTGTCTATTTCGATGCCACACCGGCATTTGGAGTTGGTGAGGTGAATGAAGAATTGGGTGCTCTATGCCTTTCACTCATTTCCTCGCCTGAAGACTTACCCGAGTCTTCATTTTACGGAGCTGTGAAATTTCTCTCGGGTATCGATAACCTAACTGGACGTACCTCTCAACTACCCTCTCGATTGACATGGGTGAAAATGTCTCCTGCGAGAAAAGTGGACCTCTTTACTACGGCTTTGCAAAATATCTTGAATTTAACATACATGAACGAGATAAATCTCATTCAAGCAGGAAAATACTTTGAACTTTCTGAAGTAGATGTGAATCGGTGTTTCTTGAAGGCAGCTTTTCAGCTCGCTGAAACGAAGTGTCTTTGCAGTGCTGCTGTTGAAAGGACAGTGATGATAATGCAGGAAATGCTCTCTACTCCCATCCCTTCGGCGTGGCGAGAGCTTCGGCTGTGGAGCCGTGCATCAGTCGAGACCCTGGCCTCTCTCTTCCCAGGTGTGGGAATCCCAATTGTCGAGAGGTTTCGTTTAACCCTCGCTCGATTTGTGATTGCTTATTCCGTTCACGAAGCACGCTCTTGTGAATACGCAGAAATTTGCGCTGAGTTTGCGAGAGCTTGCGCCTCACAGAAGTCGCTTGTATTGGAGGGTGAACATTGGTCCAACATGTTGCAGCGTGTATTTTCTGCCCTTTCTTCATCTTCTCACGAGTCCACCATGCATGAGAACAAACCCTACCGTCCTTGCAGTTTATACCTATCCCCCTTTGATCCCACTGAACTTGAAGATTTTTTCTCATTATCATCCCCTTCAGCACTAATGTCGGCCTATCTGTCAAGCTGGTCATTAGCGGAACTTCAAACTAAAACTGTTCAGGAGGCATGGGCAAATGATTGTCTTACTGCAGAGAGTTTGGATGTTGGACTCTCTTACGCCTACGGTCCACCACTGGAACAAAGATCGCGAAATTGGACCAAAATCCTGTGTACTCGTCTCTCCGAGGCTATTCAAGTCGGCGCCACTAACAGTCGTGAAATGGAAGACTATCGACTTGTGGCGGCTAGCATTTCCGCAAGTTATAAGTCGGCGTCCGACTCCGACGAAATCTTCCCCCCAATACGAACGCTCCTGGACTCTCTGGCGCGTCTCTCAGCCAAGCATTCATGCATTGCTGGTTGGCGCTCAAAGGCTCTCGTCTCGCGACTAGTTAGCCATCCGGATCAATTCTTCTCCGATGCAGCCTACAGACGCAACGAGCTATTGGCCATGTCACAAACTCTCCCAGGAGTGTCTCTACTCCTGGCAAAGCACATGGAGGAATCACGCTCGCAATTGATATTGGCAAATCTCTCAGAAATTGTTTTCGCCACTGGTGATGTTGATCCAGAGACTACTAAACGTCGGCTAAAGGAGCTCTCACCATATCTCAAACGTGATGTTCCTGTAGACGATCTTACTACTTACCTTAAAGAAACTATCGACCCTCGAATGGAGACAATTCCTCTGTGGCGTTTGCTCCTTCTCTTGAAGGTCATTATTGCAGTCATGAATTATCAGGACGTGGGATTGCGTCTTCGTGACATACCCATCCAAAAACACACTGAATTTATTCAAGCAGTAATTCAACTGGATACATCAGTCTACCTCACCTTTCTGTCAGCTCTCAATGAAAAGAACAAAGAGGATTTCCTTGCCACCGTTCAACCTTACTTAACATTCAAGTCGGTGGTAGAGTCGCTGGTTGTCCTCATTCACCAATCACCTTCTCCGCCGGTTGTGGAAGATGCACAAGTTTACGCGGCTTATGCAACTCATCTCCTCACTAACTCCGAGAGCCCAGTTCAAGATTGTCTGGACTGTTTTGATGCTATGATAACACCCACTGGTGATGCATCTGTAATTGTTGATTGGATATCAAAGAATTTATTTGGACTCGAGGCTCCAGGTCAATTGTTAAGCCTTGAAGGCCGAATGCAATTGGTCGACACTGCTTTCCGCATTGTGAGCGCCAAGTGAGTTATGCACTTCTCAATTTGTGCCGAATTCATTTACTTTCTTTGAGGGAATTTGATGTTGGCGTATTTTTTAGGCTTGGCATTTGAAACCATCACCATGTTTGATAACTGCTATTTCCGTTTTTACTTCAGCCATCAAGATGTTGGATGGATTTAGTGGGGAAAGAAACCTTCTAGGGTAGACGGAAAACATTTTTATGTAGGCTTGTGGTGACCTAATCACTTTTCTTAAACTGAGTGCACTAAGAACAACTAAGTGCATCACCATTCACTGCACCACAGGTCGTCGGATAATCCTTCAATCGAAAAGCTGAAACATCTCAAAGCATACCTTCAACGGCGGATCGATTGGATTGCACATTTTGCAGACCACACCCTTCTGAGCGAATCTCTTAAGCAACGTATTCTTTTGCATTACTTTGAGGACGTTGTTACGGGTTCTGCGTTGGTGCTTCAGGCTGTTCGGGAATTTCTCTCAGCGCCTTGCGTCGAACCCGTTGAGCCCTTTAGCACTCTCCTCTCCGCCTTTATCGGCTTCTCGGAGCGCATTGCAGAGCTGTTGATTGTCAATTTTGAGGAGGTACATCTAAATTACCGGTTTCGACTGACATTGGACACCTATTTTCATAACTTTTATGTTTCCGTTTCTTCAGACTATGGTAAAGGCCTTGTGCGAAAGTGTCAACGAATTTCTAACGTCGACTTTAGCTGACTGGATCTACTTGGATCCATTGGCACAACGCGATCTTGAAAACGCCGATGAGGTGGTTGTGGAGTTCATAAGGGGTAAACCAGTGGAGCAACAAGGCTTGATGATATCCCTTCTCCTCTCTTGGCCTGCTCCTCGTCAATTTTTTGGGCGTGTTCTTCTCGAAGCTGATCCATCTTGTACCAACCGCCACATTATTGCTCAAAATGTCTTCAATCATGTGCTTTCAAAGTCCGATTTGATCGAGGGCTCATTGGAAGATGTCATCTCGAGGCTACTTGCCTTTCTCCAAGGTCATGAAGCTCCAAGTGAACCGATCGTTTGGTTATTGGGTGAGGACAGACTAACCAACGAAAATCTCATTGAAGCAACCACAGTGGCCATGGAACTGGCGAATTACTGCCTAAGTGAGAGCTCGGACACAATATTTCAAAATGAGAAGAAGTTTTGGGCGAGTTGGTTGGAATGCCTCCGTCGGCATCATTTTTTACCAAAATTTGCAAGGCAATTGGTCTCACAAGTGCATCTTGCGCGGCAGCTGAATACGGCGTATTTGACTGCCATTGTGAATGTAGAAACAGACGATACAGGTTTGAGGGAGGCTCTCAACAGTTGTAGACTACTTTCACTTCTTCCAACTGCCACTACTGCTGCAATCGACTTCCCCACTGATGCCAACTTGGATCCGATTGCCTGTCGACGTTTCCTCAGCAGAATTGATGTCTGGAGAACATCGGAGTTCCCTCTCTCCATGCTTAAAGCAGTTTCGGAAGTTGCTGGAGACCCACATTACAATGCTTTCTTGCGACACACTTTGCGCGGAATGCGTAGCTCCGGTGACGCTTGGATGGAGATAGTCCTTATAGGGAGAGCTTATCTCTCGAGACAACAGCGCCTTAGCACCCTTGAGGAGGTGTTGAAAGCTGTTGAAAACTTGCTAAGTGAATGAGTTGTCTTTCGTTCTGCGTTTTTACGGTCTGCACTTAGTTGTGCCTCTACGTTAATACGTGATCTGTCTCTTACTTTTTTCAAAAAGATACGAAACTACACCAGAACATTCTCTTCATTTGGAAAATGTTAGTACTAGTTGCCAATTTGTTGTGGGTTTCTGTGGAAAGGAGTCGACATCGACTCTTATAATGTAGTTGTGGAAGTAGCTGCTAGTTTCTTTATCTTCAATGGTCCACCGAAGTCTATTGATGAATGGCTAGTATGTCATAGGAGAGCAGAGAGGTCTTGATATGCATGATATTCCGTCAGTCAGTTTGTGGTGATGCGGATCTGCAACATATTTCATCACTGAGATAAGGCGACGTAATGTTTTGAAGAATGGTCTTGCGAACATAGTCGGTGTCACCAGATTCCCAAGATAATGTAGATAATCTGCTGAAAATGGATTGCCATAACGCGGAATGGATTTGGTTGTAAAGTGACAACTTCAAGTCCCCAGCAAAGGTCAGGACGTGCACCCGAGAATCTCGAAGAGACGAGGTCGTGAACACAAAAGATGACACGCCATTTCGCAGTTTCACGGAGGACACTCATATCCAACACATGAGACATGCAGCAGTCGCAGACAAACGCCGGAGCAAATCTCCCCTAAACTGAAGTGCATGATGTTCAAATCTGCTTCAGTGGAAAGCGGCATCGCCTTCGTTTCCAGTAGAAAAGAGAAACAACAATCCCTAATTGTCAAATGTTTCGTGAATCCAACCATGAGAAACGACATTTCGCAACCAAGACGTCTGCGCTCCTGTGTGACAGGAGTGAATGCCTAAAACACGTATTCGCATCTGTCCCATTCCCGTGTAGCCCTTCACAGAAAGTGAGAGAGCGTCAAATGGCTACTATCATGAAGCAGGCGAAATCCTCTTTTTTGAACCTCTGACACCATAAAAGTGACTGAATTTCAAAGAACAGTTTATGAAAACATAGAAAGGAGTGAATACATGAAAAGCAAGACAACATTGACAACAGACTTGAGGCGAACTGAGACAGCACTGTGTGAGGGGAAAAGGATAGCATCGACTGAAACAGAGCTCCGCTCATCTGAGATCACGGTTTTACTCTGTCAGTGTCATTTGATTTCCGAGCTCACATAGATGCACCCAGTTTAGCCAATCAGAGAAAGGAAAGAAGGTAGAAGATGGGGTAAAAATCAGACTAAGACCTTGGAATTTGTGGGTTGTTGTTGGAAGTGAAAGACATTCCAGAGGAAGTGGAGCCCGGCGCCTGTAATTGTAGTTGTGCGTGGATAATTGATAGGAGCTCTTGTGGCTGAGGCACCCTATTGGACTGTAACTTCGACCAAATCGGTATGTCTTTTGAGGTCCGACAAAAAAAGAATCAATTGTAAATCAAATACAAGTCTTAAAATATTGGTGCGTTCTAGACCTTTGTTAAAGAAATATTTAGAAATCACAATCATTTCCAGTCACTTAAAGCAATGTTACAGTGAAAAGCCCAAAAGTAAACGTACAAGTCAACCAACACCCTTAAAACAACAACATTTGGCACGTGAAGGCACAGTACACGACCCAAATCGAAAGATAATCAAAGAAGCACAGAACCCCAGAAACGCAAGCACCCTTTTGTTGGCTACGTGCACGTAAATGTCTGAGAGGAATGTAGACTGAAAAAATGTACCAATTTTTGAAATGACAGCAGTGTTTCGATTTTCACATGGGACAAACTCTGGACCATGCCGAAACCGCAGTCAGCGAGACAAGAACGGAAGCAAATCGGTATAGTCATTTACGGTGAGACAGCGTCCAATGTATGCGCGAATATATTTAGAGCAGCTACCAAACCAACTTGTCAAAAATATTAACTGGGTTACTATTAATGTTTCTAAACTACGGATTGCAAGCTTGTTAAACTGGCGACACGGTTCGTATGTTACATCAGTAGTGACATGCGTCTCTTGTAATGCCTCCAATAGCCTAAAAGTATGCGTTTTGCAATTGCAACAGTACTTTTATACCGCCTGGTGTTTCAATACGTGAAAAAAAACTTTACAAAAAACACATCGGGAGTAGTAAAACGGAGCCATCTGCAAGAAGCGCAGTTTATTAGACACTGGCAAATGAAACCCAACGTCAAATCTACCGATATTCGTCGACGGACTTCGAGTCGCTAACACGAGGAACTTAAGGCGTCTGACAACTAACGTAGTTGATTTTCCAGTTAGTAGACAAAAACAAAAAAGATCACACTTTTTACGACCAAAAATATGGTACGCATGTTACACAATTAGGTATTTTACCGCAGAAGATTATCCCTCAACAAACTTAGGCGTCGACAGTGGCATCATAAATGGGGCGTACTAAAATGTCTAATATAACACCAAAGGGTAAAATACAAAAAAAAACGATGTGGTGAGAAATTATACATGCTTTCATGGACGTCAGGTCATCCGTATTTTCATAAGCAGCGTTTCAATAAAGTTTAGACAATGAACGATTCACCAGAAACAGCAGACGACTAATTATCTCAGTGGAAATTATTCCTGTATCCCGTACCAGCAGCAAATTAAATAATGTCGCCGTTACAGACCACTAGACGGCGAGCATGATGGCCAACGGAAAATGTATACACTGCGAAGCCCTCAAGATCAGACAAGCGAATAAAAACTAAAAGCCCCGAAAAGAGCAAGGCGACGCATTGATTTCCCGACTATCCAAATGCTGTTCCATGAATTAAACAAGACTCACAAAAAGTGCAAGAGATTCACAAATGATAAACATGGCAGACTCTGTACACATCAAAACCAGCATACCGTTAAAAGTGATCTCAAATGCACCCGTGGATAGAAGCTGACCCTCGATAAGGCCTCCGATGAAGAAACACATCAAGCAAACTGAAACCTCAAAATATAAAACAGGACGATAACCACAAGAACAGGTGCGGTGTTACATTAACATCGAGTACAAAGCCGCTTACTTTATTTTCACTTGCATAAGTAACGAAGTTAGGAGTTCCAAGGCCAAAATAGGGGAAGGGGTTAATACCTACGATTATCAAGGCTATGATTAAGAACTTCAACGAGGTGACAATTTTGGCGATGAAAGCACGCCACTGCGGGGGAGGATAGGTCGTTCCTTCGATGTTAAGCATAGGATATCGCTGAACGACAATGTGGGCCAACTCCTCGTAGGCCCGCCTGTATCCTCAGGAAACGCTGTTATAAGGTATAACGCGGCGGAATCCAACGACTTACCAGTACTGGAATCGAAGAGTAGGCACAATCGGTTGCGTGTCTTTTAGCGCTGGGAATTCTTTCGCTGATTCCTTTGAGCTATCAGTCTCACCAATATCAGCCATGTCTCGAAGTGTTAAAACCCCAAAAACGATGGCGGAAGCAAGCAGATAGATTGCAAACCGCTCCATTGAATGACATCATTCAAAGCAATTGAGGCATTACTCGTGCTTTTAAAGGATAAAGGCAAAAAAGGTAGCTTCCTTATATTCTTACGCTTTATGTATTTGATCCGTTATTGTTTTGTTGATAGTAATTGATATATTTGAATGTGCGAGATCAACCAGCAGATATGCACTCATCGTTTGTCATAGGCAATCACCGAATCAAGTGGCAGAATGCACATCTCATACCTAACCCAATGAATCACGTTACTTACTTAGAAACACGGTTCATTGCTAACGAGAAATATCAAGATTAGTGAACCCAGTTCCAAATTGGTCTTTTAATTGTACTATTAAACAGTTGATAATTTTTACTACTTCAATGTGCCATAGTAAGTTATTTACCTGTGTCCCATTCAGCTAACAGACTTACAGAAGTTGCCGATTGCTGGTAATGTTACCGTCCTTGCACTGGCTTCTCCGACGCCACGTTCGAAGCAAATCCGTCCTCCATTTCGGAAACTAACAATTGAATGACTGATACGAATCACGATTAAGGGTTGGTACCGCTCCACCAGTTAAGATTGCTCCTGTGGAACTGGAGATTTCGGGTTAGCTCACTCTTGAAATATTAACTAACCCAAGAATTCGTTACAAATGCTGTTCTTTTGTCTCTGCGTTACGGCCGCAACTATGTCAATGCCAAAGGCTGACGAGTGGAATGCCGTCTGTGCAACAGTGAACATCCCATAAGTAGCCCCAGACAAACTCACTACTAGGCCAGGAAAATATTGATAGATCGATCCCAGGTTTTGAGAAAACTGGCAATTCACCCTGCTCCCTACCAGAACAACTGCAAGAAGCACCCATCAAGGCTCCCCTGACGGATAAACACACTATTTAATCTCCAATACAAAGCCAAGTACAGTAGTCCTGAAAGGCCGTAGGGACGAGCAGATTACCCTGATGCCAAGCAAAATTAGAACTCTCAGACCTCATAACGTTAAGCCTTCTAAAAAACCAAAAATCAAATCACTACATTGACTCTTCATTACCTCTCGAAAAAATGCCAAGCCACGCGAACTAATGCGCCGAGAACGACAAGCTTAGAAGATAAGAAAAACGAAAGTCTCTTCATTGGGCGCAAGAAAAGTGCATATACAGAGTCAAGGAGATGCAAAACTGAAAGTCAACTGGTGGGAAAGCGGAGGACATGTGGAAGGGAAGAGACGGAAAGGAGTAGGGGGCACGGATCAGAACAGAGATGACATAACATGGTCTTGACTGGAGGCTGATACCCAAACAGTCATCGATGTTACTGCTGCGCTAAGCTTTCCGCATCCACCTCGTCTGAAGTCCCTCCGTCGACGGGGCACACAATGGGGCGGGCCCATTCCACGAACTCGTCAATTAGCACTGGCCAGGCACCTTCCATTTAAATTTTAACAAATGCACAAATGAAGAATTCGTAAGTTGGACCAAAGTGAATGCCCGCATCGAGTCCCTACCGAAGTAACCTATATTTATCAGCTGACAAAAATTATTTGGAGTCTCGATGTAGTGATAGAGGAAAATTTTGATGAACCGATCAATTTTCAGAGGGTATCAGGTAGTCTCGTAGTCAAAAAACAGGCGCTTAGGTAGAGCGTGCCCCAATTAGCAAACTTAGCTTCATTCCCATGATAAAAGAAACAGTGATACAAACCGGAACTGCTGATGAAAATTATGAACGAAGATAGGATTAAATTAGCAAACTAAATAACGTTTAACTAGAAGCAACCTATCAAAATAAGCTATTAGCGTTCCCAAAAGTGACAAGAATTCACAGCATAAGCAGCCCAAAGAGGGGATCCGAACGAAATTCATTTCTTAACGTACACGTGCTCATCAATGATCACTTGTAGGATTTAAAAATTACCCTGAAATCTTCGCCGACAAACTCATCTCACTAACCGGTTCCAAACATAAAGTGTGAAACTTTACTGATCCAACCAGAACGAAGGCAAGCAAGTGGACTTTTATGCATGCGATGCAAATCACCTCAAGGAACGTTTCGTCAAAAAGAGTTCAAGAAAAAAGGTCTGATAAAATATCACTTATACCTAATTACAATTCAACTGCGATTTCTTAATCCTAAACAGCATGAAAAATCAAAAATAAGACCCACCTTCTAGATCGTAATTTGAAAAGTCTGGAGAAATTGTGTTGACAAATTCGAGCATCAGGTCCCAGGTGTCCTTTGAAATTGATGACTTATGCTTCTCCTGTGTTAAAATAGTGGTTAAAATTCGAGCCAAGAAGGGTGGAAACCAAAGATAATAGAAGACTAGCAATATGACCTGGAGAAATTTGAACCACAGATCAAGATGTGCGAATTTCCCACGCAGTAGAAGTTCAAAGTAAGGGATGGCGTAGTCAAGCACTTTAAAAAGAGGATGAAGTAAGATCAGGTAATGCATCGAAGACGAAGATAGTAGAAGAAACAAACCTACCAAGCGTTTTACTATCATGCCTGTCTACGTTAGCGAAACCGAAAGTGAACGTGTAAAGACTCTTAAATGCAGCTGGATTCTCGACTTCCGATTCCAGATTTGCCACACGATCTCGAAGTGCCTCGATAGAATCACAACTTGAAAAAAAACAAAATAATAGAAGGAACAGATAAAAAACAAGCCGCAATGGCGACAGTCCACCCACCCCAGTTCGTGTAGACCGTGAAAGAATTCCTCTCTCGTGAACTCGCCCTGAGTGCGGGCACCAAATTTCCAGGCCAAAACAAGTACTACACGACTTGCAGGATCAAGACGGAGATCTGTCACAATAAAGCGCTCCATTCCGGTTGCTAGAATGCGGTCCGGATATTGAGGGTCTGTAGCCGAAAAAAATAGGGCAATCGTAATCAAAGAATGGCACAGAATCGTAGGAAGAACAAAGCAAACAAACCACAGTAGCGTTGAAAAAGTTGGTCGATTTTTGAATCATTGAGTGCAGTGGAGTTGCTGTTGTTGCTATTATTGGTATTGTTGTAGTAGTACTCGAGAGAGCTATCTAGTTTCCAGTTGTTCATGTGGAGACAGTGAAGAGCTGTCCTCTCGTCGCTTTGTGTCACGGACTGAAATTTTTTCACTGCTCGATCTCGAGAGGAAGAAGCTCTGAACTAGAAATTCGTGTACGAAAGTTAATGAAAAAACGTCATATGATATGGTTGACCTATCGCTAATTTCAAAGATTATATTTTGACAACAGTGTAAGCAAGACAACTAAAATCTTCAGAGACAACTCGCAAGCTTTTGAAGAAGAGTTACAAAATTTAGGTCCGAAAAAGAACCAAGCGGGAGCCTTTGATACCAGTACTGATGCCCACGCGAAAAATTGAACTAACACAATGAGCACAATCCATAGTCTACTGAGAAAACGCACCCAATGATCTAGTTAACAGTATGCGAAGTAACTCAAGATGGTACAGTTTAAAATGGCAAACAACCAGTTACCATCTTATCCATGAGAAGGAATAATCTGGTTTGTCCACAAGTGTTAGTGGGTAACTAAAACAAATCGGGCTTAGGAAGGTTACTATACTCAATGAAATAAATAATAGAAAACAAACCTAAATCTTCAATAAACCAGTCCTAATAGTTTATTTCTTCCTTATTATGCAGTTAATTGCTTATATAGTACTGGTGACATTAAGACTTGGTTAGTGGATGTAGCGTCCCGAAACTTCCGAGGAGAACAAGGTGACAAGGCCTTGGCATCACCCTATGCCATCTTGCGGATACATGCATTACAGTAGAATTAACCACTTTATAGGACGAATTTGAGAATTTGGGCTCCCATCATCATGCTTGACGCATGATTGTGCATTTTATGATTTGGTGCGCCATGTTTCTCGTGTCTGTTTGCCATAATGACAACTCAGGTCATAGTTTAGCGCATCGAGTTTCACATAACGTCATGGTTGTAGCACCCTGAGACTTCACACAAGGTAGAGGAGGGTACTGAATTGAAATGAATATGTGTATTCCATAGAGAACAAAGGGGTTAGGCCTGTGCCCTACCCGAAGGTCAGCCTACACGTACGAATGCCAGACGAGCCCTAAAGTTCCCACCAGACATTAAGTGGTCACAAAAATAAAGCATTACAGTGATAAAGCCAAAGTATCATGGCGTGTGATGATTGAGCGACGCAAGTGCAATTAATGCTCTATTTGATGCCACATCTAGAACCCATCACTTTTAAGACGCCTGATAAACACGCTGTTTAAAATTCGAAATGTAAGCATTGAATACTTCGAATTTACACCATTACGTTAGAATCAGGTGCTCAGTTATAATACAAGTGTAATAAACATGAGCAAAACAGTTCGGTCTTCAAGAGGTGACTCACTCCGGTGTTAAAAGGAAGCACCTCTTATGCCTTTCCTTACCTCTGCCTTTTAAACCTTCTACGACTATACCAAATTGAACAGTTTTGAACAGAGATGAGGATACACACCTAGGAAGTTCATTAGGCGGGCTTCATGGCGATGGTACTGAGGCTGCAACTAACGCCTTATTCACTTGGCCATCTTTACTGATAGCAGTAACCTTGGCGGTCAACCAGCTTCTCTTGGGCGATTTTGCCTTGTAGTCATGTCACAGCCCCATTTCTGCCCTCTCCCCCTATTTTTAAGCACGCAACCACGTCTTTTGCCATTCACCACCAAATGGGCAATCTCGGGTCGCTACAAATATGTGCTGTTTTACCACTCAAAAAACACCAAAATACTTTAACATGGCATTACTCTGCCGAATAAGTTGCAATGGGGCAGTACTTATGGTAACTGTTTTTTTTCCAAAATACAAAACACCCACATTATCCAACCAGTACTCCTCTAGAAGCAGGAATTTCGTCTACAATGGAGATCATATCAAAGGGAACGCGCATTAGCCTACATATCTTGCACATTCAAATATGGACTGAAAACGCAGGCTACAGAGTGAAGTGTGGTTCCTGAGGTTGATGTCAATGCAACAACTTTGGTGTTGCCGTTGCAGTACGTGGTGGCGGCGACTGAGTGGTGGACATGTTGAGCGCATTCCAGCAGTGCTCCACAAAAGCCGTAAAGGCCCTTTTCCGAGTATCCGACATGGGCTCCACTTGGTCGTCCTTCTGTCTAATCGAGTGGCAAGCATCACCGACACTTGAAGGACTGGTGAAATACTTTTGTGCAATTACTGAACAAAGTTCCACAAACGCAGGAAATGAGAGGCCTAAAAAGCTTTTCATTGTGAGTAAGTGTCTTTTTGAGTTGTTAGACTCAATGAGTTGCAAATAATTATGAAGGGGACTCCCTTAGGCTCACAGTGCTGGTAATAGTGAAAGTGACCTACCAGTGTCGGCACTCGGCGAGTCTGGCTCAAATACATGAAACCAGTGGAGTCTGTGCTTCATGTAGAGGATGTCAACTTCCCGTATTGAGATGCCAGCATTCTTTAATTTGCATCGCCTTAATGAAAATGGGAAACAATGAGAGATGGAATGAAAGTATCAGCAGTGCTGAAAGTAAGTATGTAAATAAATAAGTGGTGAGAAGGGAAATCTGCTTTTGTCAAACTTTGGATCTGGTAGAGAAAGTTAAGGCTGCTCTGAAAAGTGGATAAAGTTGTGGAATAAAAACATAATTTTACGTCGGTTTCGGATTTCAAACACTTTCAGTACGATTGTATCCTACATGATCTGGAAGATTTTCGCATTCACCATCTACTCGCATCCCTGCACCTCTGTCACGATGGAGTCGTCTCAAAGCAGCAATTCATAAAAGTGGGCATCAGTTCCTGACAAGAGACATCATTCAGGGGGGGGGGGGCAGAGAGATGGTCATGACAGTTCCCCTTTGCCTGTTTTACCAAGGACTTGTCTCACTCCTTCCATCACCATCACCACCACCAACCACAACAACAAGTAATCGACAAAGTCCTAATCAAGTCTCGCCTCTCTTACATAGTGGTGGAGGCGTGTAGTGCGTTGCATTGCGCTGCTTTTTTTTTTTTTTTGAAGATTACCCACTTTTGTGAATGTCATACGCTTCAGTTTCGCTCTCTTCTACGAGAGATGTAGTCAAAAAATTATACTACTCAAAACACCTTAGACACTGTACCTGCATCAGCACAATGCAATCAAACTGACCGCTCAGTAAGACAATGTACTTTAATAAAGGCAATTAATCTATGGGACCGAGATTGAAAAATGGAAGACCAATTCAGAAAACGAAGCACTCAGTAGATTTTACAATGGGAAATTAATATTACCAGTGACTAATTTGTCTTCTGCATTCATGCAAAATAAATATTTGCCCTAATCACTTACTGAGTGAACATTCGAAAGCTGGTAAAGTCCATCCGAGGAATGGGAACATCGACAAGTGCCTGCGTCTCCGTAGTGCCGTTATTTGCAGTGGTGAAGTGTGAACTGACAGTCTTGCCATTTGGATCCACGTAAATAACGAAGGAGAGATTATTGTTAACACGTGATCGACTGATGTGATTTCTCTGACTCGCAACGTCTACCATTTCGGGAGGCCTCTGGCGGCTGCAATGAGGTCTTCGAATGGAGAGAATATGCATAAATATCTCAGCCAGACGATCCACCATTCGAAGATGCGCCACTGAATTTGTGGTGGGTGGAGATGGTTGTGGGTATTCTCGGTAGCCTGACTTACTGAATTTGAGGTCGCCCTGAATTTGTTGCTTCTCTTCAGGACCCAGCTTTGTAGAAATGAAGAAAAAAATACATATCTTTGAGTTGTCAACGCAGGACAATGAATTCTTTAGTGATTTTGACTTCCACAATGACTGCATGACATCCCCCAGCATAAACTAAGTCCGGATTTATGGGGTTTGGTGCAAATGAAGCACATGAGCTTTGAATTTGGAGCTTGTTGGCTTGTGATGCAACGAGGGAGATAAGTAAGGAGATGATATGTGCCCACCTTCCTCCGCCTTGGTTACTGTATGAAGCAAGAAGCTAAGCAATGACATACCTTATCTACAGTTTCCATGACTGATGGAGACGACCTCCGCATTTCTGTAGGAATGAAGGCGGGAAAGGACTGCGGAAATTGTGCCTAAGTGGAATAGAGAAGCACCAGATATCAACCCAATCCAAAATGTCACTCCATCAATTTGGACTGAACTGACCTTCTCGTTGTTTAACACATGTAGATCGCATTCTCTCTCATTTTCTGCAAATATTCCAGCAGATGTTGGATACATCTCGTCCTCGGCGTAAATGCAATGCAGTCGGTTTCTGGCCTTCCTGGGCGGGAAAAGGGAGGTATATCCTCAAATGAACATTTCACAACGACTGAATATACTAAAGGGCTGGAAAGAAGATACGCATAAATAGAGGTTTTAATGCAAGTAAAAACTGTTGTCAACACCGTTAGTGTAAAAAATCCTTCCCATATGTTCTACCTTTATGGAGAAATGTTTATTCCAAGCGGACGTTGATGTAAAAAGGAAGGGAAGAACTGTGTGATTGCTGCAAATGGCAAATTGAGAGATTAAGGGCTACCTACCGACACGCCCTCGATAAAGGCTGAGAGAGAAAGTGTTCGCTCAACTTTTCACTTTGTCGCTGCCTTCCAGACGCTGTGTGAATGGAGGGACACCTCAATGGCGGCCAAACTGGAGCAGTGAGGACGGGAATTGATGAAATATTCACTGTTGACGTCTTTGACACCGTTACTACCGTTGTCGATGGTGTTGGCATAGTCGTAGATGGCTTCTTTGATACTTGAGGCGCTGAAAAGGGTTTCTTCTTTCCTTCACTCCATCTCTGCTCTCTGGCACGGGGTCTACAGTAGATCTGTGAGATACGAGCACTCATCCATCCGTTGCTGCCACTGCGTTGGGTTGTGCGTACTGTTTGCAATTGGTGCCTCGTAGGACTGGAATACCTTTGTTAAGAAAATAAAGGTGAGGTCGACTTTACGGATTGAATGAGGTACCAAGTCCTGGTTGATATAAAAGACGGTACAAATATAGAGTAGTCAATCTATTGAGATTCGACTTTGAGAAGAAGGTTTAAATTTGTACTAAAACACCCTTGTCAGTTGCTACCTCATCTATCCAACATATCATTGAACTAACTTTATGACATCCATCATATGTTTGTGGCTCAGGGTTGCTGTTGTTGTACAGATCTGTTTGACAGTTAAGGCGTCTGGAAGTAGCTCAAGAGATAAACTTACTCATCAACTTTGTTATGCATTCTAGCAGCTTCGGTAGGAGTCTTCCTATCTTTTTCGGCCGGTGATTTGAATGAAGACTTGTATCCACACGCCTCTAGGAAAGCCTTTGCTTTCTCTGGGGAGTAACGAAGGAGGCGTTGGTGGATAATGCGACTACCCATGAGTAGGAGTGTTGCCTTCAACAGTCCCAATTTCACCGCTTCATCAACACGCGATCGAAAGAAGGCAGAGTACTTTGGTGAGTTGACTACAATGTCTGGCGACAGACCTTGACGTGCTGCCACACTTGGATAGCGCACCAGTGGACGCATACAATCAATTCGAAGGCTTGGACTGCTATTCACCTCCAGAAGAACCGGTCGACAATCGGGTTCCAAGAGCAGCAAATCAAAGCCAAAAATCTTTTAACCAACAGACAAAAAAGGGGTTTCGCTACGATTAAAATTCAGTAGTTTGTGTTAAATTTATGGCAACGACAAGTGTTAAGACATTGAGGCAGTAAACTGTGCATTAAATTGTACATCCTTAACATAGTGATGACAATACCAACTGCTTAAAGCTAGCACAATGGCACTAGAAACAGGCAAACATCCATTCATAAGTTGACGTCTTTCATACTTCATAAAAAAGGAACTAATAATAAGGCATTCCAATAGATCAGAATGAAAAAGAGACAAGTTTAGTGTGTAGATACCAGAAGTTAAGTGGTAAATGGTAAAGCTGATAGAATGTGGTGTTATTCTCTTTATTTATGTTGAGAAAGTGAGGCAGCAGCTCAGCTCAAAAATACAGGCAACTATAGGATTATTTTTGCTGCACGTGCTGGTAAACTTGATGGAAGCAGACCTGGAAGCATTGTGGGGAGTCTTTGAACTTGACTGAACCAGGATCAGTCACTCCATAGCCTCCACACTCTGCCCAGTAGGCGACACGGAGATAGGGGACCAAAGCGAACACTGTGTTTCTCACCAATTCATCTACTTTTGGCCAAAAAGTTTCTGGAGTGAGTTTACTTCCAGTCTCAAAACCTCCAGACTGAATGAAGTGGTGAAGGCGACGCTTGCACTGCCAATTGGTCTTTGTTTTCATGCAAAAGGGACTCAGGCATTCAGCATCGCTATGACTACCACCATTCATAGACGCCGTCGTTGATCCTCTCGCGACAGCTTCTATCTGAGATGATCCATCTGGATCTACACTGTCTGGAAACTTGTTTATGGAGTAGTTGGTTAGATGCATCTTACTCTACAAAAGATGCATCAGATAACAGCATAGGACAGGTTAACATGGTATAAGGGTGATGCATACATGTAACTCACATTCCGCATGTTCATTGGATCCGGTGTATGATATCTCTGACTAGCCAAGCGGACCAGACCATCTCTATAAACGTGGATTCGAAGAGGCTTGAGGGATTCCAGAACTACGTAGATGCGTAGATCTGCTTTGAAACCACTCACAAGTACTGGACTGTGTTCGTACTGTTGTACCACCTCCTTAGCTGCCAAATAGCCCAGTGAATCGGTCCCAAGACAGACAGTTGGATCCACACCTTCTTCATCCTCATTAGGAGGTCCAAATCCACGTCCATTCATGTGTTCTTTGCAGTACTCTTTTGGTGATTGAACAAGGTAGATTCCCTTGCCCTGTGTACCACCGCTAGGCTTTACTATGTATGTCACCGTTCCTATTTCATCTATTTGGTTTAAAAAAGGCGGTAAAATTTTGGCCTAATGTCTGATGGAAGAGTAGAGTGCCAGAAGCATACGTTTGGCGGTGTAAGAGGCCCACTCATCGTATTGGTGGGGCAGAAACCATGTGGGTGGGTAAAAGTTATAGGCTTCAGGAAAATGGCACCGCTGAAATTCCAAACACTTGAAAAGGCTTATTTTTGTCAAAAGGCAGTGGATGCCTAAAAGAATGGGAAAAGAATGCAATAGGTGTGAAAAAATACTTACGATTTGGAAAGCCATGTGATATGCAAATAGCCACATGAAAAATGGAGAAGTAAAGCAGAGCTTTATAAGGCTAAAGCGGCTTCAAATTACAGACTTAAAAAGGTTACTCTTGCTTAATTTACTAAGCCATTTTAGGTACGGGCTTTATTTACACTTCGAGTATGCGAACTTTCCCTAAATGGACATCATGTGATGCAAAAGTGGCCAACTAACCTGGAAATTTGTTAACATAACCATTTCTGGATCTATCCTTCTTGAAAAAGAATGCTGCGTTCCAGGTTATGTCCCGATCTTGTTCTTCCGTAACCTAGAAAAAAGCTTTTGACGTAGCTATAAGGATGCAAATGTGTTTGATTTAAAAGAATGAGGTATGGGAAGACTTGGGCTCAAACTGACAGTAAACATTGTAAAATTAAGACCCAAATAACCACAAATGCATATTCAGAAAAGCAGTTAATATGTTGCATTAAAAATGATGACTTCGGTTTAAAAATTGCTAAGATTTTT